GAGCCCTGGGCTTCTAGCCCGGACCGAGTCCTGGCACAGGGAGGACTGGATTCCACTGTGTCTCCCTGAAGCTGTAGGAGGACTCCCGCGACAGCCTGGAGCCAGGCTCTCTCAAATCATGTCAAGAGGCCAGTTTAATCCGGGGCTCGAAGGTCGCTGTTACTGATCAGAACAACTTGTCGGTGACCCTGCACAAGCTTCTTGACCTGCGTGCACCTCAGCTTCCCCAGGAAACAGAGATGGTACAGTCCCGTTACCAGGACAGGTGGGATGATGGGAGGGGCTGAGCGGACTCTGGAGGACTGGCTCCACCCAGCCTCCTGGATGACTGTCCCCAGGCACACCCTCCACGCTGGCCTCATCAAGCCACCCAGGGCGCACCCCAGCCGTCTCATCTCCTGGGATGGCTTCACCCAGATACCCTGCCCCCCCCTCCAATCACAGCCTGAGAGGCAGGGGGGCAGGTGAGTGCGCAGGGCGTGCCGGGAGCGCTGCCCCTGTGGCAGGGAAGCCGACGGTGACACACAGGCAAGGCACCTCTCCGAGTCACCAAATAGGGCTGCCGGCTGTCTGACACTCAGTGAGGTCACCTAGGTAGCATCTGAGCACAGAGCCTGCCACCTGTACAGCCCCAGCCGGCCTCTGGACCTCAGCAGGCCACCCCTGCCTGGAGGGCACTTTCTCTCCCTTGCCCGGCAGCCACTCTCAACTCTCCATTTTCTGTCCCCACCATCAGCCCTCCACCGCTTTTTTTAAAGTTTATTTATTTTGGTGGGGGCGGGGAGGGAGAGGGAGAGAGGGAGGGAGAGAGAGAGAGAGAGAGAGAGAACAAGCAGGGGAGGGGCAGAGAGAATCCCAAGCCGGCTCCACGCAGTCAGCAGAGCCCCATGCGGGGCTCAAACTCATGAATGGCGAGATCATGACCTGAGCTGAAATGGAGTCAGATGCTCAACCGACTGGGCCACCAAGGCGCCCCCATCCCTCAACCACTTTGGAGCATTGTTTATATTCCAGGCCACCAACCCTAAGGATGCCGGAGCTGGAGGCGGGGTCCGGCCTCGTGCACTATGGCTGTCTGGGTCAACAGCACAGCACACCCCCAGGCCTTGAACTCTGAACAGCGCCTCCACTGCTCCCTGAAGCCCCAGTGCCAGCCGCAGGGACCTGCAGCAGCTTCCCAGGTCAGAGGAGGTCCCGTTCCCGCCCCTCTGCCCAACTCGCATCCCTGCTCTCCTCACCACCTCCTTCCTCCTCCCCCTTTCTTCCCCCAGGGCCATCCCCTCCATCTCAGGCCACCTCTTGCCCTCTTCCCCTGCCTCTGAGCCCCTTGGCCGGTTCCTTCCTCCCCATCCGGGGACAGGCTCAGGCTTCCAGGCACTTCCCCATCAGAAACGCTCAGCTGCCCTTCACCCTTTGCTCCGGGAACCCAAGCCCTCAAGGAACCCGCTCTCCCTCTCCTCCCCATGGAAGCCACCGCGACCCAGCTCACTGTCCCTTGGTCCCCAGTGGGCACGGCTCCAGCCTCCTGTCTCTGGAGCCAGCCTCCTTCTCATCCTGAAGATCCTGCAGCCTGATGAATTCCGAAACGCCTCAAGTCCCAGTTGCACAGATTACCAGCCACGTGGCCCCCAATTCCCCAAGCCGTCTGCACCGTGGTCTTTTCATCCAAAGTCTGCTGGTAACCACACCTACACTTCATAGGGCTGCTGGGGAGGACCATGCTGTGAACCACAGGCTAGTTGTCGGGCCCAGGTCTCTCCGGGTGTGTGCGGGGGGTCTCTACCTGTGTAAGCAATCCGAGGAAGCGTGTTGGTTCATACTGGTGGCTGACACATCGCACGGTGGGAGGAGTGACTGATCGCCCTCCAGGATGGCCAACCCATCAACAGGGTCCCGGGGCTCCTGGAGACAACCGGCCA